GCTTTAGCCTCTTCTTTCAATTATTTTAATTTTAACTTCTTGTGTGGATTCTAGCTGAGAGTAGACTGCTTAAAGTAGTTTTTTTCTTCCCATTCATTGCTTCTTTTCATTCACAAGTACCTGGCTGTACAATATCAGCTGGATTTATTAATGCAACGTAAACAATTCTGCTTGTTTTGGTTTACAGATATTTTGCTGCACTTAAAGTATGTTACACTTACTTTTAAATTATTTTGCAAAACATGATTTTCAAAGTCTTCACTCACTTTCTAGAAAGGTAACTTTTGAGCACAGCAAACATGTGCTTAGTCATGTTTGCTTCTCATAGTAGATTGCAATATGTGCGTTGAATGCCTATAGTTTGTAACTCTATTAGAGATGTTTAAGCGTATTATTACTTCTTTGCATGGATTTCTATGTCTATAGCTGTTGATGTTCTACACTAATTTGGGCTTTTTACTTGGATCTTTCCCCCCTGCATGCAGGAGATGAAGAGGCGATGTAATCATAAAAGGTCCAAAATTTTTTTATTCCCTTAGTATATTACTTCTTCCGAACCTCTTGGGCATGTTTTTAATCTGAATTTATCCCTTTCAGAGAAATATATGAGAATCTGATGACATATATAGAGAAGGGGAAGTTGAAAGGTAGCAGAGGAGAGCGTTTTTCTTCACACCAGTTTCAAGTAGCTCAGAATGAATATGAGGAGGAGGCAAATGCATTTGTATTCCGTATGAAATCGCTAAAGCAAGGACAATCCCGCAGTCTTCTAACTCAGGCAGCTCGCCATCATGCTGTGCAGGTCTTTTTCTTCTTTGCACAGGAGATTATATGGCCCTGTATATTTCATTTGTGTTGAGCTTTAGTAATATGTTCTTATGTTTATTCTTCATAATAGTTGTCACTCTTCAAGAAGGCTCTCAAATCTCTCGAGGCAATTGAGCCACAAATCAAAATGGTCGCTGAACATCAGCATATTGATTACCAGTTTAGTGGACTTGAAGATGACTTGGGTGATATTGATGATGATGGCAACGATGAGGATGATGGTACTGTAGATGATTCTGAAAGTCATGA